GGATATCTATTGAGATCTAACTAAATCTAATCCCATTAGGGCATTTAATTAGATCTCTATAGATAATAATTAGATCTCGATAGATAATCGAATATTGAATAAAAGTGTCAGAACTCTGAAGATCTGTTGACTTTACCCTCACGGAAAAGCAACGAAATAATTACTAGAAAATTACTGTACATCAGTAATTTCTAATGTTCAAGTACTGGACATAGAGTAATTTTTTAGTATAATCATTTCGTTACTTTTTCGTAAGGGTAGAATTGCATATAATGAGATATTTCCATTTTTCCCGGGCTCTCGCGAACTCTGATAGCCAAATCGAGAGCAGCTAGATTTTGCGAAGCGTTTGACCGCGCAAATGTTGTCAGTGGAAATATTGTGGAATCTGCCAACGAGGCGATAGATCGAGACGGAAGCGAGGAAAATCTGCCGTTCCGTAATTACATAAATAAAGTATCCCGCTGCCAGTCAGCTGTCGGATCGTGCCAATAGATTCCTTGCCGGCAGAACAAAAGTCTTTAATGCGGACACGAAATATATAATATCTGATCGAATCCGCTGGCATGTCGCTAACGTTTTGTTCACTTAAGAAAGGAATCTTATCTCGCGCGTAATGAGCGCGAGACATTCGATCGCGGTGTGGACGTGCGCAGTTTCTTCCACTTATTGCGCGAATACGCGATTCACGGGTCGTGACACGCGATAGCAAAGATGTTGACACGTTATTGCTCGGTCCAGCGTTATCGTCCAGCGAAAATCGATGATGATCGTGGGCGGGAAAAGATGCGATCGGCATCCACTCTGATCCAAACTGATCGACGTTTCATTCGCGTTTCAGGCCACGAGAAATGTATGTTCCATCACGATTTGGAGTTGGACCACCGACCGCCTACGCGGGAGGCGATGATACCGGAAATGTCCCGAAGTTACAAGTTGCTCCTGAGCTCGCTGGGCGAAGATCCAGAACGACAGGGACTCCTGAAAACACCGGAACGCGCCGCGAAGGCCATGCTCTTCTTCACGAAAGGCTACGATCAGAGTCTCGAAGGCAAGTTCTATTATTGTCATTAAATGAAACTTCATTGGATCATCGTCCGACAGTCTCCTCTCTTTCTCTTTTCAACGATTGATTTATGATACTTGAAACTTTATAAATTCAGTTCGAACAATTCAAATGTTTCGGCAGAAATTATTTTGAACGCGGTAAAAATCGTTCTTAAATTTAATCTAATCAAAATACTATAAATATCTAATCTAATCTGAAAATGGTTGCTACGGGAAATATTGGATTAACATCAATTGCGAATTTCAGAATGTTGTAATGCATCGACGATTTCGATCTTGCTATTGAGAAATTTTTGAACGTCATACTTGGAATATACATATATTAACGAAACGGCTATTGCATTTTCGTAAAAAAATTTTTTAAGACGGTCACCTTTGCACAATACGATCCATTAAAAAAAAAGAAGTAAAAATCGGAATTGCCGGCTTATTACAGAATTATTTAAACTACTCTCCTTTCGAATTGGCACTGAATACGTTGTAAAACTAATATAACCACAGAGGAAAAAAAGAGAAAATAGTGCAGCCTTGATTTAACGGTCGGCTAACGCAAGGTTGCGCTCGAAGATCCGTGTAGTATGGATTTTACAGGCGGCAATTATGCACGCGATTGCGATCCATCATTTATTGCTTAACGGCAACGGCTGCCCAGATATCATGCGTGTCTAAAAGACATCTTTAAGATAGAATTACGTCACTTTTACCCGAGTCGAAATTTTGGTACTATTTTGACACTTTTAAGGATAATTTACACTTTAGCTGATCTATGTATACACCTACATAGACCAGCAATAACCTACTTTGATTGACATTATTTTTTACTCCCTCCTTGAATCTTTAATTCTAAAAATTTACTTTAACTCCTACTTAAAAGGACCTAGTTTAATGCTAAATTGGCAGAAGTAGAAATTCCCGACACTATCAGTTTTAAAGTATAGCAGTCAATTTTGTACTTGCCGTTCGACCTCTTTTACTGTCTTAAGTCCTACTATACAGGGTGTCCTGAAATTCGCGAATCAAAATAGCATAGCAAGAAAGTCGTCGAAAAAATAACTTTTTAATTTATTTTTTCGACGACTTTCTTGCTATGCTATTTTGATTCGCAAATTTTAGGACACCCTGTATAATAGAATTAAAGGTACAACATCAGGCCAAAATTTCGACTCGGGTAGACATGTACGCCTAAAAGTTGTCTTAAAGATATCTCTATGACATCTTTTAGACACGTATTGTTATCTGCCGATCGTCCGGCGGCCGCTGTTTCTGTAAAATCTGACTTCCTGCAGTCGCGATCACGAATCGTCGTGACATTTCGAGTCGCTTTACGACCGGCAGGATTATCGATAGAGCTTCCGTTTCCTGAAAAACAATGCTCTTGACTTTGACACATTAATCGAAAGGTACGTGTTATCAGGATGAATAATTCGATATTTCTGAAACAGATAATCTTCAGTAGAAGTATTATAGATTAACGGAAATATTTGAATACAAAGATAGCGGGATACAATTTGACTAACCAAATAAGACTGGAATTACGTTTGGCGATATATTTAAGTTACACTTTACGCGGACGTTATCGAGAGAATACTAGGAACGTATTGTATGAAATGATAAAATACTGATAATAAATAATGCATATCCAGATATACGTTGAGATGTGATATATGTAGGGATATGCTGTCATTGTATTACAAAGCCGGGAAAAATTTCTCCGAAGTTACTTGGAATTCCTTGCGATATACGTTATCATCAATCATATTAGCCCAGTACGCTTTACCTAGGATTACCTTAAACAAAAGTTTAAAGTGTCTAAATTTACTTTTCACATCTCTTATTTTTCTAAAGTAAAATCTTAAGGTTTTCTAAGGTATATTTTCCCCGGGGTATGTTCAAACTTACGAAATATGTAATAGCTCAAAGAAATAGTGATAACATCACTTTTCGAGATTAATAAAAAAAACTTTGGTACAGATATTTGAAGTACATATGACCCTGTCAAAATGTAACGAGTTTCAAACAGTTTCGAGTAATCACGGAGAGAGAGAAAGAGAGAGAGAATGTAGCAATTCTTCACTAATTGAAAATTGAAAAACCCAGAGCGCATTTAGCCCTCCGCGGTGAATTATATTGTACATGAAGGAATTACGGTAAAGTCAAGGGTACAATTTTTACGTGGGTAATAGAGTAATTAACTGGGAAATCGTCGCGCGTTGACCAGATTTCTTTTATTACGAATAATACATAGCGCGGAATTACAGAGCGCGGCTCCGTGAAAGTACCACGCTTCTTTTCTTTCTTTTTTTTTTACTTTCAACTCGCTCTCTATCGCGAGCAGAATGAGGAAGTGGAGGAGAGAAAAAGAATGGGACGCCGAGAGGGTGAGAGGGTGGGACTTAAGTGCGACTTGTAGAAAAGAGAGCGTAAAGCACTTCGTATAAATGGGGGCTTCTCAGGGACGCACGAGGCACAGCTTGAGAGGAAAATCCTCCTCATCTCCTTCTTCCTTTTCTTCCCCTCCGCGTCACGTACATTCAATATAAATGTCACGGTGCTCCAACAATTACGGGATTTGCGGAGATTCGGAGAAAAGTTCGCGCGTATCACCAGTTGAGAATGAATTCTTTTCCTCGTATGACAAATTTGTTCTATAGTTAAGGAAAAAATTTCATTCCGGCATGACATGTTAAATAGTACAAACGTGTCGTTGTGGTCGTTGGCTCTTGAGCTATTCTGCGCACTTAACTTTAAGCATATTGATTGGCAGTGAGTAACGCACTTGCTCTTTACTGACGACACTGCGATCTCATTCGTATTAAATCTTTAACGAATTTAGTAAATTTTTTTCTATCAATTTTCTTATACATTGTTCGAAGTTTTATCTATTTCGGTGGTCCAAGAATTATTTCTCTCTTTTTAGCGTCAAGCTGTTTTCTCGAAACGCTCACGATAATCAAGTATCGTTCTAACGATCCTGCCTGAAACTAAGAGCCTCTGTAGGTGATGGATGGGGGACTTTAATTCACTTCGGCTTAGCTTGAACAGCGGAGAGACCCTTGAGATAAGCTCTCATAGTTAACAGCGGTTGCGGCCCGGTGAATCTGAAACAAGAGGCACTTTCGTACGAAAGCTTGACCACCCTCGCCGAATCATCCCCTTGCGCGGGCAATTCCACTTGTGGCTTTTATCTCGCCCCAGTGCACGCCCGCCCGACATTCCCTTTAACAAATCATAATCATTTTTTGTATTTATATGTACATTCGTACACGCACATATACGACGCCATGAACATATAAAAAGAAATATATGGTATATATGTACACATATGTTCCTGATCGATAAATTCCGTGGGGTTTCCACGGCGGAATTTTTTAAATGCCGTACGCGTGGCAACCCGTAGAAGTTAATCGAATCGGCCAAGCCGATCACGTTTAAACCACCGGTTCGTAGAACTGAACTCTGCAGTCGGAGAGCATCCCCGCGGGGATACGAGAGGGAAGGAAATTGCTTCACTTCCACGCGTGACGAGAGCCGCCGACCCACCCCTATACGCGGCTGTGCATTTCCCGGGAAAATTAATCTCGTACAAAATTCAATTGTATTTGTCCCGCAAAGAATATATAAACGAGCGCATTTCTGCTGCAAGTCATCGCGTTTGTGTCTGGACGAAAGCTATTCCACGAACACGGCAAATTAGAAATTGTGATTGGAGCCAGCCCTGGATCCATCTAGAAAATTCAAACTCGATCGCGACCGGTTAGGCGAATCCGTTTCGTTCATCGTTGTCGGTCATCGCGAGGGTGTTTCTTGTTAAGGTTGCCGTGGAAACCGTGCGGAGAGCACCACCATTATCTAGCTGTAGACACGTACCGACGTCCGCTCGTACGTATACACTACCACTAGAACCCATGGTGCAGTAAGTAGGTCAATATCGAATAAATCACAGCCGGGACAACCCGCCCGCTACGTGACGAAAGAACGTCTCTTTCACGAAACAATGCTCTCAGCCGTTTTCGTGTATGGCTGATGGCAGAGAACAATCCTTAATCGCTTAAGGCCCGTATTTCTAGTCGTTCCTCAATTCTCGTCTCGGGCGAGGTACTCATTGTCAGATTGGAGTTTCGTGTCTTGAGGGGATCCTAAAACCGCTGGCGAACTCGTTCAGTGTCGACAAGACAGGAGACGGAATTAAAAACGTCAATTATCGACATTTTTAATTCCAAGTTCTACTCGGTTGAAGAAATTTACAGTCAATCAATTTGCTACGAAAAAGCAGCAATTTTATTAGCTACACATTGCTCAGACCGAGATTTTGGATCGAATTCCAGCATTCGTCTCGTACACAATAGACTTTCACGACTTAAATTTTTCTCTGCCTAGCTTTGCGTCTGCGACTAATTGTAAAATAGACTTAAGCGTTTACGGATCGTTTTCTGCCATAAGTCTATCGCTGAGTTGAAAGGCTCTACAAGTCGCCAAAGATCTCCCCGACGTACCTGATCATGCCGTGTGCAAAATATTTCAATTGATTCACGAAATTCGTCGGGGGATTCTTTATATTTGTCGACGAGATCATTGCGTGGCTAAGACGGAAAACTCTGGCTGTTACAGACGTAATTAACGATGCGATATTCGACGAGGATCACGACGAGATGGTGGTGGTGAAGGACATCGAGATGTTCTCCATGTGCGAGCACCATTTGGTGCCGTTCTACGGCAAGGTGTCCATCGGTTATCTCCCATGCAAAAAAATACTGGGCCTCAGCAAGCTCGCCAGGTAATTACGTTAGATATTAAGGATCTTACCGGGTCTACCGAGCTTTCAAATCGCGAGTGATTGACTCGATATTAAGCATATAGATAATTATTCGCAGTCGAAGGTCGAATCTCTTCCTCTCGGCCGAACCGCTTAATTGCGATTCTGTCACCACGTATGTCGTTTCTTCACGCGTGGGAACTTTATCAACAACGACTCCAGCCGACAAACGACTGAGATGCCAGTCTCCTGAGTTAAAGCCTCAACATAAAATAAAGATCCAGGAAAAAAATGAAAAAAATCTCATTATACAGGGTTATGTAATACTCGCCTCACCTCTTATTTGCGGATTAGACTGAGTTGAAAAGTCCTCCACCTCCATTTTGCAAGTTTCGCAATAGCTAGCGAGTTGTTGATTATTAAAAATCGCTGTCTTAGCCCGCCCAATTCGATCTGTCCCGCGATCGGCATTGCTAGGCGCGCGGGGAATTGTTTAGACACACGGCAAGAGCTGTGTCTAATAAACAACTCCCCGCGCGCTTAGCAATGCCGATCGCGGGACAGCCGCATCTTGCAGTGCGCCTGTAATAATTAATAACTCGTTAACTATTGCGAAAATTGCAAAATAATACAAGACTTTTCGACTCAGTCTAGTCCGCTCTATCCGTAAATAAGAGGTGAGGCGGATATTACATAACACTCTGTATATCTCAATCATGTAATATCTAATTATATCTCATGAGATCCAACTATAAAAATCATCAGATCCTCGGAGATTTGACACTTTTCTTGAATGGTCGACGCTATTGAGATCTAACTAAATCTATAATTAATGTCCTAAAAGAACATAATTAGATCTCAATAGATAATAACATTGAATATTCGATAAAAGTGTCAGATCTTTAAAGATCTGATGATTTTAGAATTGGATATAATTATTATAGATATTACATGATTGAGACATATATGAAACATTTCCTTTTTTTCCCCGGGGATTTCGATGAAAAGACTTTATTAAATAAAATTGTCAAAATGTACCGTCACTTTTCAAGGATTTCTATGTTTTAATTTTTTTTCAGTTTAACATATTGCATCGGGTAAAAAAGTATTTGCGCACGCAACACAAAATCTTTCCTTTTCTCAAAGCGCGAGGTTGCTCGGTGCAAATTGCGATCGTGTAGATGAAAAAGGAGGAAACTCTATGATATTTACGGTCGGCATTTGAACAATTTCGTAGAGTTGCAGGTCCACTAGTCCTGGCCTTGATCAGTGACATATTAAGGCGAAAAGAAAGAATATGACGAGACTGGTATCCTAAGACCGTAGACACTTTCACGCGCGTAACGGCCCGGGGTCTCCGTTTACTCGTTAAACGCCCGTTTAAAAGCGAAGTAAACGGCCGATAATGAAAACAGGACCGATGGCATTCCGATGCGCTGTCCAAGCGACACTGTGTTGTCCAGACCGTTAACTTTTTTTCCCCCCCGAACTTCTGTGAGCATTCTTCTGGATAATGGATTTGGAAAGAAATAATATTTGCACGCACTCGGCCCCGATTCATCGGAGGTTTCTAAGAGCGATCTTGAGAGGAGAACTTCCTGTTCGCAGAATCGTGGAGATCTTCAGCAGGCGACTCCAGGTGCAGGAGCGACTCACGAAGCAAATCGCGATAGCGGTCACGAAGGCTGTACAGCCTGCAGGAGTCGCCGTCGTGGTCGAGGGAGTGTAAGTATAAGATCACATGACGTATCGCGAAATTTCAAACGCCTCGACTACGCGAAGCGATCTCGCGCGTAATTTACAAAAGACAACGCGAGAGCATCGAACGCGGGGATAGAAAATGTCGG